AGAAAGTTCAATAAGATTGGATTCTGCAAGTGTCTGATCGGTTGAGCAAATAATTATATTTGTTTAAGAAAAAAAGAAAAGCCGTCTTTTAATAATCCTTTGTCTCTTTATTTACATTTTTTACAGAAATATTGTGGTTATTGGATTCGAAGATAATCATCATAATTCTTCTTCTCCTACTCCCGTAGCGGCGTAACGGGTTTTTGTCCTCCACATAACTTATTATACGTCATCTCAGTCAACACTCCCTTGATCACGTCACCTTTCACGTAACCCATCATTTTCTAGGTCTATCTCTACCGGTGTACCACACTAACGTCCTCCTTGTATTGGATTCACAGATAATGGTGGTTACATAGTTGCGACCATTGGCCTCTTTCTATAAAAAACAAAACACGATCGGCCTCATAGAATTGTATTTGTATTGTCAAAGAGTAACAAAGATAAATTAATTTCCCTTCCTACGTCAGTTCTGAATACATTTATAACAAAGGGAGAAACATTTGCACGGCGCGACGCGTTTATATCTCAACGTCAATAGATTGGATAAGTTTTATTCATTTTATAATTTATCCAATACGCTGTTGAGAAATGAAATAATCTTACTAATATAATAAATGCGAAAGTTTAGATGGACTTTTTTTACAGTTTCTAGCCTAAACTGCTGAATAGATCTTGATAAGATTTGGCGTAGATATAAAGATAGGATGGAAGAACACATAGTTTACTAAATTTTGTTTATTTTAATTATACGCGGACAGTCGCCGGCCAAATCTAGTAGTATAAATATTGTTTCAATACGGTATTATTCAGGTTTTCATTAAACCCGAAGTATAAAGAAATTCCATTTCGATGTTCGTAATATTTTCGAGTTTAATCTCTTTTTAATATTGCACGAGTATCGTGAATGAAATGACTGTTACGCGGCTTGCGCGTCTGTAATAAGGATGTTCTGTTATTAACATTTATTTATGTACGATGTATTTAATTTACACTTTATAATATAATTTAAGTCTTAAATACCTCAAGTACCAAATTTGAACCGGGGTTATAAATCGAATTAGGCACCTACAATCAATGTTTTTTAATACTATCTCTTCCAGTGCGATTTCATCAGCATAAAATTATTTTATTGTTTACATGTGTCAAATTGTCAATTGCAAATATCAAAATGACATAACGTGACAAAACTTGGCAATCGTGCTTTCTTGATATTGGCAGCAACTTTTAGTCTCTTTCCTAAATTAGGGGTTTTATCCAAAATATTTACCCCCTAAGTTTAATGGCGTTAAAATATATAGACTAACGCGTGACGTAAGTGTAGGGCTTTTTATTAAAAAGAGAATTATTCAAAAATATGGTGTAATTGCTGACATCTTAGGCAAAAAAAAAGTGTGTGTTTACGATTCATTATAATAAGTATAGATTAGGCTGTGCACATGTTACCTTTGACTGATAATCTCAAGTTAGAAAATAAAAAAGAGCATATCATGAAAATAATAAAATATCGTTTTGCTTTTTTTTTATTATTCTTTACCTTTCGTAAAAACGCAGTAAAGGGCACTTACACTCGTATATTTTGTAATTCAATTTAAAAAAAAAACAGGCTTATAAGGTTTAAGTTACACATTGTGTAAGTTTTTCTATAAAACTACATGATTTATTTTTGTAATAGTAATATTATTTAGTACGTTTTTAGATGTTATATCGTATATAATATATATCGAGGATATTTAACCACTACGATATTAAAGCAATAAACTACAAACAAGAGCAAACATTATGAAATTGGAATTTCCGTTCAGAGGAACATATTGCGATATATCTGATCTTATAGACCGCGATGAACCAATCTTGTTCAATTTTATGGAACATATATATTTTTATAGAAAACATTATTTTATTAATCTTGTTGAAAATCCAATATCGTACTGGTTATAAATAAAATACGTACTTAGATTAGAGGTACAGACGAGCTATAAAATCTATACTAATATAATAAAGCGTAAACACACACTTCTTTGTTGCCTAAGATGTCAGCAATTACAGCATGTTTTTGAATAATTCTTTCTTTAATAAAAATCCCAACACTTACGTCACGCTTTGGGCTGTATATTTTCACGCTATTAATCTCAGGGGGTAAATATTTTGGATCAAAACCCTAATGTGGGAAAAAGACCATAAGTTGCTGCCAACATCAAGGAAACAAGGTTGTCATCATGTCATGTTATTTTGACATTTGACAGATTGATAATTCGACAGATGTTAACAACAAAATAAAATTTTCATAATTTCATGCGGATGAAGTCGCACGGGAACAGCTAGTTATAGATAAGGGCGAAATAAATATATAAATTAAGGTAACATGTGCACAGTACTGCACAGAGGCACAGCACAGTATGGGAAAATACAGCACGTCTTTATTTTAATATCTACTTAAGTAGACTTAAGTAGGTATATTAGGGAACCTTAAAGAAACTAGTTTTCGCCCGTGGCTTACGCGTGTAGTATAAAAAACAAGTAAACAGCCTATGTGTCCTTCCAGACTATTCTGTACATCTACGCCAAATTTCATCGAGATCCACTCAGCGGTTTAGGCTTCAAAATCTAACAAACATCCATCTAAACTTTCACATTTATATTGGTAAGATAAGATATATAGGAACTATATAAAATTCTCAATTTAAAATGTTCTTTTCATGAGATTTCTAGAGAGACCTTGAGAATGAGAACCGCTTTTAAGATTCTTTTATGTGTTTGCTGTAAGTTACGTTATGAAAAGATTTCTTGATAGCTTTTTAACACCGGTGTCTTATACCGAACAAAATCTTACTACGAGTATAGGATATTGAGTTTTAATTATAAAACTTATATAGTAATATTAGTTACTGAAATATGAACGGATCTGACGTTTATAAAAAACTATACAATATTCTTAAAGAACAAACAAAATTGCACTTACAAACGTTGTTGTTAAAGTAGGATGTTGTTTGCTAAATGATTATTTCATATTATTTGATTTAACAATATGTTTTCATTTGACTTGTAATAAGAAACTTCTTTGTATCTGCGGCCGTTTTGCTCTTTACACTTGAAATGCGATTGTTATCGTTCCTTTGTTTTAAAGCGAACGAAACCACATATTGCATTTGGAATAACCATCCTTTGTTATGACGTCATAAGTCACTAATGAATATTACTAACAAGTTTAATGCCGGTTTTCGTTAGTGATTTTTTTTCGATAACTTCATGAAATGCGTATCTGAACTACGTAACTTAAGTTTTATTCCGTTGAAATTTAGGTCTATCTAAAGGTAATAAATCATTAGGTATCATAAATTTAATGGAAACTTCAATAAACCAGCATAAACACTATAAGAGTCGAAGCAAAATTCTTTTAAAAAGTCTGTCATAAGATTCTTTAAACTTGGTTTGCCAATAGCTTTGGTGTTTCTACCTCTATCTTGCATCAAGCGACAAAGATCAGTGGTAGAGCCCGTTTTAACATCTTCGCACGAATGGGCCGGCTCGCCCGGTGTAATACCACGACGTGAAGTGGAAGCAATTCCGTGTTTCGTCTGATGAGTGTGGTGCCGGAGGCATAATTTTGGTCCCTTTCCCTTTCCCCCCCTTTTCTTAGAAGGAAAGGATGGAAAAGTGGATTGACGGTGGAGGAGACGCATAGGAAGGCGAAATGCCTTTTTGTGCGTCTCCTCCTCCGTCAATTAATGGTAACGCATCTGCAATTGCGAATGTTTATGGGCAGCGGTCGCTTTCCATTTCGGTGGATTCAAGTGGCAGCTTGCTCGTTTGCCAACTTATATTATATAAAAAAAACTCTACTAGCTATTTTTAAACCAATATTTCTAAAGACTTTATAGCCATTTTTTATTATCAGAAAGTGATATAATCCAGAACTATAAACGTAATACGTTCTAGTAGTTAATGTTCAAGATAGATTTTAAATAGGTGCGTAATCTTTTATAGTACTTGGAATAGAAGGAAGCTTCCGAGCAGTTTCCTTTCAGAGTAAAAGCGCACGCTGAAAGTTAAACGACTTTGAATTACAGACGTTCTAATTTCACTCTCGAAGATTTCTATCCGTTGCGTTTTGTGTTCGACTAAATGGCGAAGTTAAGTTTATTACTTAAATCAGTTATAAAGAGTTAATTTACACTTATTATCTACATCTTATTTCTTACTAATATTATAAATGCGAGAGTTTAGGTGGATGCATATTTGTTAGACTTACGCTATAAACGCCTGAACGGAACCTTGAATTAAATTTTGCACAGATGTTGCCTGCATACTAACTTTGTTTTTCTTTTCCAACGCGGACGGAGCCGCGGGCGTAAGCTAGTTACATAATAATTAATTAGGGGGCGATTTGTGTGTTCCACCTCCCCGAGTGAGCAGGAGGTATCCACCCACACGGACTTAACACCCCAAATGGATGGATACCCTCGGCTCCGGTGCACCCCGGGCAACGTAGTTAGAGACTGGTACTATTACCTACTCTCTAGCTACGGCTGAGAGAACCGCTCTAGACCTCGCCGGCGATGTGGGTGTAACCGGCGATGGTACCTAACCCACCTGTGCTAGGTCCTGCACAGTTGAGCGCCGTACGCGGGGATGACGGAGTCCTGGGGGGCTGAGCCGAAGCGTCACAGGGTTGTTTAAGTGACGTTAGGCAACACTCCCCCTTTGGTCCTAATTTCACGCCAAACGGTGGCCCCCTCCGCTAGCCACGGGGGGGGAAATGGCCACGCGTCCCGTCAGAGGGCCGCAGGCGAGGTGGGTAGGGTCCGCGAGCTGTCGCGAGACAGTCCGCGGCGGTAAAGGTCATGCTGACGGGGTAAGTGAAGGTTGTGCAAGTGGTCAAGCTAGGTCTTTTCAAACCTGGCCGCCAACCGGATCGAGCCCCCGATGTTGCACTGTGAGCCAACTGTGCCCACCTATATTCCCCCAGTAATCCTAGCGCCTGAATTTTTTATGAGTAAGGCGTTCCCAAATGTGCGGGCTCCATGGAGGGTGGGAAGCTGGGGGGACGAAACAAACACAACAGGCTATGGACTCTAAAAGACCAACGCAACCAAAAACCACCAAGGCGACTGGTACATCCCACGCCTCCCACAAAAAATCCGCAACAGCGGTTCAGAGTAACAGCTCTAATCAACCAGGCGACGGAACAACAACAGCAGGACCGTCTTCTACAACAAGCGTGAGCAAGAGCGACGATAAACTGGTTCCGCCAATAATTACGCCACTCTCACCGCCGAAGAGAATCGATGACGACCTGTCTGCTGCATGGCAGGTAGTCACAAGAAAAGAACGACCAAAAGCCCACAAAAGAGCTCCGGAACCAGATCGCAATGGTGCCTCCAAAGAGGCAACAAATAAGATCAAAAAATGGAAGCGTCCAACCAAGACGCAACGACTCAGAGCGGCCCAGGAAAAGGCAAAGAAGGATGCAGTACCTGGGGTTGCTGAGGTACCAACCCCTGAACAGGCGCCGCCCCAAGCAGGTCCCAGTGGTCAACAGGCAACTGGTCCAGGTCCTAGACCTCCAGAGCCGATCGCTACCACCAGCAAGGAAGCGGCCCCGGTGAAGGGAAAGGTGCCCCAGCGACCTGGTAAAGAAATCCGGGCCGAAAAAAGGGCACTCAACACCTCCACATCACCGAGAGGTGACTACAAAAAACAAAAAATAGACAAACAGACCAGGCCAGCAACGGTCAATTACAGCGCCGCGGTTTCCTCTGATCTAAAAGTAGCAATAACCAGCGCAGGATCCACCAACTTAACCAAGGAAGCAGCCAATGCGTTCATTCGCAATATGGTCCAGTCAATGATTTACACAGCCTGGATACCAGAAGGCGGCAATGAAGAGCAATTGCCCGTCCTTGTCACCAAACCAGTTTACGTAGAGGGAGCAATCCGGCTGACGTGTAACGACCGCATGACTCTGTCCTGGCTGAAGGAGATCATAAAAGATCCCAAAATCTGCCAGGGCAGTCAGCTGGTCGTGAAACGGCAGGGGGGCCTCCCCCGGCGAGTACGCTGCGGTATGTACGTCCCCGACGAGTTCGACATGATCACTGACACCCGTGACATAGGACGTCTACTGTATAGACAAAACAGATGGATCAACATCAAAGAATGGCTGTTTTTAGATGGCGAAAAACAAGCGGAGGGTTGGTTTATAAAAGTGACGATCCCAGAATCTCAGATCCCAACAATCCTGGAACACAACAGGCGCTTAGCATGCACCATTAACCAATGCTATCTTAAATTCTTAGGCAAGGGGGGCAAGTACTACGAAACCCCCCAAGCCAATACACCAGGACCATCGGTGGAAAGACCCCAACAACCGGACCCATCACTCCAAACTAGACAGGTAGTAGAAAAGACGGACTCTACAAAAAGCTCCACAGAGGAGCCCAAACAAGGAGACTCCAAAGAACAGGGAGAACCACTACCAGGTCCTTCGGGCATGCAACAAGTAGCGTCCCCGTCAGGGGGGGACTCACTCGGTACTCTATCGGGTGTCTCCCTCTCTGAAGGTGACGATGCGGAAGCAATGTTGGCTGGACTCTACCTAGATGAAGAGGAGGAGGACATTAAGGCACGTCAAAATGCCGTCCCCTTCGTTGAATAGCAACATCTCCTTCATTCAAATCAATCTCCACCATTGTGAAACTGCCACGGCTCAAATACGGAAATGGCTGGAGAAAAACACCAACTATATTGTCTTAATACAGGAGCCGTGGATTAAGACAAACAAGGTTTTAGTTTTATCTAACTTAACAGGTAAGCTAAACCTCTATACATACCGTGAGCGGCCAAGGGCGTGTATACTCACCTCTAAGAATATCCTCGCCCTTCCGCTCACGGACTTCTGTTGCAGAGACAACTGTGCTATATTAGTAACAGACGAACAGGGGGGCAAAACAGTCATCGCCTCCACCTACATGCCAGAGGATGAAGAACCACCTCCGGTTAACCTCGCCAGACTGATGAACTACTGTGAATCAAAAGGACTCGAGGTGATCATCGGTACCGACGCAAATGCTCACCATCAACTTTGGGGCATGGATAGGAACAACGAGAGAGGTAAAAATTTAGTTGATTTCCTATTCGCCACAAACCTTAACATTCTAAACACAGGCAACGAACCAACTTTCGTAACACGACGGTGCAGGACCATAATTGATCTTACACTGGCATCACACAACATCTCGACACACATAAAAGGGTGGCACGTCTCAAAAGAGGCATCCTGCTCTGACCACAGGTGGATCTGTTTTTATCTAGACATCGAGACCAAAACAACAATAACACCTAAGAGAAATCCCAGACGCACAAATAAGGCGATCTACACCAAAGCTCTAGATGCGAAACTCAACAACATTCAATCTACTTCTGCTGCCAGCGGACCAAAAGTAGACTCTATTGAATCTCAAGCAAATGGTATCTTGGAATGTATTATGACAAGCTATCATGAAGCCTGTCCCGCGAAAGTTCATGCTCCCAAACCCGGCGCACAACCGTGGTGGTGCAGAGAGCTGGACAAAAAAAGGAGGAAGGTGAGGAAGACTCTAAACAGAGCCATGAACACCTCCAAAGACACAGACTGGGACGCTTACAAAGAAGCGAAATCAGACTACAAAAAATGCATCAGAAAACGCCGCAAAACAGAGTGGCAGAAATTCTGTAGCAGCATTGACAAATGCGACCAAGCAAACCGTGTAAGAAAGGTCCTCTCTAGCCAACAACTAGATGGACCACAAACACTACGTAACACGGACAATACATACACGACAACCCAAGAAGAAACACTAACTGCCCTACTAAATGCACATTTCCCAGGTTGCATAATAAGCAGTACCAAAGAGTGTTCAGATGATATCACTATGCCCACCCCCGAAGACTGGGCTATAGCTGAATCAATAATCACACAACCCAAGCTAAAGTGGGCAATCAATAGCTTTCACCCCTATAAAGCCGCTGGACCAGACGGCGTTTTTCCAGCACTACTACAATGGGGAGAACCCCTCTTGAACAGAAGGCTAGTGGAACTGATGAAAACCTGCCTGGCGTATAAATACATACCCAAAACCTGGAGAGAAGTCAAGGTGATCTTCATTCCAAAACCAGGCAAAGGTGACTATACCGACGCCAAATCTTTCAGACCTATAAGCCTAACATCGTTCATCCTCAAGACAATGGAAAGACTTATAGAAAGACATATAAGAGAAGTAGCACTAAAACGCAAACCTCTACATCCTCTACAACACGCCTATAGTACAGGCAAATCAACAGACTCAGCCCTCCACTTAGTAGTCACTAAGATAGAGGAAGCGCTAGTCAAGAAAATAATCTGCATAGGATCCTTCATAGATATTGAGGGGTCCTTCGATAAAACCAGCTTCAATCATATAGAGAAAGCCCTACTGAGCCATGGAGTTGAACCCACAATCTGCGTATGGATCACTCAAATGCTCAGCAAAAGAGCTATCTGCATCACGGACTCCCGTATAGTGAGGATTACGAGAGGATGCCCACAAGGCGGAGTCCTCTCTCCTTTACTGTGGAACCTGGTCATAGATGAACTCTTAAGCATCCTAAACAAGAACAACTTCTACACGGTAGGATACGCCGATGATCTGGCTATTCTGATACCAACCACAACTGCAAGCATCGCCTGCAACCTTACACACACAGCACTACGCATTGTAGAACGCTGGTGTAAAAAAGTCAATCTATCAGTTAATCCAAACAAAACACAACTAGTCATGTTCACGAACAAAAGAAATCTTGGTGAACACAATCCGCCTTCGCTGTTCGGCACCAAACTCCAATTTTCAGCAGAGGTTAAGTACCTTGGTGTAATTCTTGATAACAAACTGAACTGGACCAAACACCTAGAAAACAAACTAAATAAAGCCAACATTACCTTCTGGCAATGCAAAAAGATGATAGGAAAAAGATGGGTGCTGACACCAAAAACGGTGCTTTGGTTATACACGTCAGTCATACGTCCAGTCATAACCTATGGGGCGGTAGTATGGTGGACAAAGACCAAACAATCAACCGCATGCAATAAACTTCAGAGGTGCCAAAGACTAGCGTGCATGGCGATGACCGGCAGCATGAGAACAACCCCCACAGCCGCTCTAGAAGCCCTGCTAAATTTGACACCTCTACACATCCACATACAACAGGTAGCCACAACAACTGCGTTGAGGCTGAAAACACTGAAGCTATGGAAACACAACAGGACTCCGCACACCACCATCCTTGACACATTGGAAGAAACTACACCCGTCATGGATGCCGTACAGGACCTGATACCCAAACAATACATCTTCGAAAAGAAATATAAAATACACCTCTCAGAGGACAACGATACATATAGGAAAAACTCACACTACCTCATGATATACACCGACGGGTCCAAGACGGACTTAGGTACAGGCTCAGGAGTATTTTCAGAGGACTTAAATATCAAAATACACACCAGCTTAGGCACACAAAACTCCATCTTCCAGGCAGAATGCATGGGAGTTATCATAGCAGCACATGCCATAGCCACACGGAAGGTAACAGATGAGAACATCTGTATACTTACCGACAGCATGGCAGTACTCCAGGCACTAAACAGTAACACAGTCACATCTAGCTTAATCTACGAATGTCACCTAATTCTAAACAACTTAGGTACATTAAATAACATTAATCTTCTATGGATTAAAGGTCACAGTGGCTCAAGGGGAAACGACGCAGCCGACGAACTAGCCCGCAAAGGCTCAGGTAACCGAGCAATCGGCCCAGAGCCTATTATCCCCTTACCTCCGGGATATCTCAAATCAAAGGTAACAAATAGTAGCTACGCCCTCCACAGCGAGCTCTGGGACAACACTAGCGATTGCAGGCAGACCAAAGACGCTCTGCCTAAAATCGATAGAAGGCTCTCGAGCAGACTTCTCAAACTACACAAACAACAGCTACGATTAATTGTAGCAGCACTCACTGGCCATGGCCTTTTCAACAAACATCTGTTCAACATAGGTGTCACTGACAGTCCTTTGTGCAGAGCGTGCATGGAGGAAGAAGAAACAGCGTCACACGTCATACAGCACTGCCGAGCGGTGACTGAATACAGGGTTAGGTATCTTGGTTCGCCGAGATCGCTCCCGGAGATCACCAGCAATATAAAGGGTTTGCTGGGGTTCTTCGGCGAGCTGGGTTGGCTGGAGTAATCCATGTCCTATTGTCACGCAAAATACGCGCTAGTCGTGGAGTTGCGGAAACCGTAGCCCCTACTACTACTACTACTACTACATAATAATTAGATAGATATAGATAGATAGAGCCTTTATTTGCTGTTAATTTACAATATTTACAACTTATTAATAACATTACAAATAGTTAAAATTATATATAAAAAGTATTTTTTTTAAATAAAGTATGACATATTGAGTGTGGTTGACTATGGCCTAGTCACCCAACTTAGGGTAGGCTCCGAGCCCCTCGGTGGGGACTTGTAGTGAGCTGGTGATGATGATGATATAATAATTAGAAGTATTTAAATGTTACAGATAAGATTCTTCAATTGTTTTTTAAATTTCATGACGATTGCTTCACTCTGTACATAAGAATATTTTTCTTTGTGTTAATTTTTTTAATGAAAATATTTTGCATGTGTATTTAGAAATGGAAATTGCAGTTCTTAGATATTCAAAACAATCTCAGAGATTGTTTGAGATAAAAATAGAATAGCACAAAGGAATAAGGAAAATAATTAACTTGTGAAAGTTTCCTAGAAACGTCTGGGGACTTGAAGATGTATTAACTCGGTACTCGTAATGATTTATTGAAGGTCTGGGAAACTAAAAAAACATTATTTCTGTTACTTAAAATAATACGTGAATATAATTTGGCATTCGACTCTTACTGCAACATATTTGCGTGCTTTTTCAATATTGCTAAAAAGGATAACTGCATTTCTATTTCCTCTATTTAATATTTCCGAATTAACTTTAAAATTTACAGTCGGGGCACTGGGAAGTATGTGGGAACTGTGGTCACGGAATGCCTCCACATTACTCACCAAACTCGTTAAAAACTCTTTTTATATAACGTTTTAAATTTAATCAAGACGTGGAAAGAATTAACGTATGTAATAAATAGAGTCAATACAAAAGCGCGTTATAGGGGGGATTACTGTACTCGTATATGTGTTTTCTTGCATAGATAAATTTTATATTAAATACCTAATTCTTATCTTATTAATAACTAGCTGTTCCCGTGCGACTTTATCCGCATGGAATTATGAAAATTTTATTTTATTGTTTACATTTGTCAAATTATCAATTACAAATGTCAAAATGATATAACATGATGACATCGTTGCTTCCTCGATGTTGGCAGCAACTTATGGTCCCTTTCCCACATTAGGGTTTTAATACAAAATGTTTACCCCCTAAGTTTAATGGCGTTAAAATGTATAGCCTAAAGCGTGACGCAAGTGTAGGGCATTTCATTAAAAATAATTATCCAAAAATATGTAGTAATTGCTGACATCTTACGCCACAAAGAAGTGTGTGTTTACGCTTTATTATAATAGTATACATAATGCAAAACTTTCGATGGATGGATGTTTGTAGTTTGTAGC